AGCCTTGAATTCTTCCAGTGCAGGCAGACATCACAAGGCACAAATACAGCTCTCTCTGTCCTGGGCCTCATCTTGCAGGCTCTCTATTTTGTTACTCCCCATACATTTTCTTGCCTCCCTCTCTGAATGGGGGGGTCAGTAGAGTGAGTTTTTGGCTCTTTTCCTCCTGCATGTTTCCTCAAATGCCTGGTAACACACCTGCCATGCTGATGCTCTGATTTCATCCTTAACCCAAGTTCCAAGTGTTTTCATTTCCTTTTCTGAATAACTTTGGACACAAAAAAGTTTTTGAACTCTGACAAATCTCAGCATTTGTTATTAATTTATTCCAATCAATGCCCAGTATGTTTTCAAGGTGGGTACACATCAGTCTATACCTTTGAATGATTTCCAGCCTTCTCAACAGGATCTCAAGGTGAAAATAATGTTTGGGATGAAGAATCATAGCTTGGACTCTAAGCTGTAGATTTTTGACGACTGGTTGTTGTTAAGGCTGGTAAATGTTGCAGCTGCCTTATAATTTGTGACATACTTTCTGGCTATCACTAGTTGTCTTGTACATTTCTGTCGAGGGATGTGAAATGATTCACTCACTGTATTTGCCGTCTGCGTGATACTACAGTGATGAGTCCTTTTTATCATACTTCTGCTTTTCAGTTCACAGCAGAGGGGGAGACACTTAGTTTGCTTGGTTATTTTTGTTTTGTTGAAACCAATGTCAGATTTTGGGGGGCTGGCACATGATTTTTGAACTAGGTTGGCATTATGCTAGTCAGATCCACACACACTTGCACAGAAAAGCAGCTCCACCTTTCTTTTATGTCTTTCCACTCCCACCTCTGCAAACAAGCTGTCTGATACCTTCCTCTCCACTATCTTTTCTCATCCTCCTTTACAAACATCGAGTCTGCTGCATCTGGCTGCTGCCTTCCCCACACCTACCCAACTTTGTCAAGTGCTTTATCCAAGTTTCATGTGGCAAGAGGCTCTAACTTCCTCCACCTGGGAGTTTTAGGAGTTGGTTACAATAAATATGCTTTCTTTATCCTCCCCTTCATTTTAAATAACTCTTTTTTTCCCCCTTCTATTTTTATTTGGTACAGCTTATTCTGTTTTAGCTGCCACTTGTTGAGGGCACATTCATTTTAATCTTCTTAGTCAGTTCCTCTCCTTTCTTGTCAAGGGACATGTCTACGCATAAAGTTAATGTGAATTAATAAACTCCAGACATATCACCCCAAAGTTTATTGCTCCCAGGCACCACATTTACAAACCACAGCACGTTGAGCCAGGTCAGGGCAGCCCCGGCTGGCAGGGGCTCCAGGGGAATCAGCCTGCCAGCCTGGGGCTGCTTTGACCTGGCTCAACATGCTGCAGAGAGGCTAGCTGGGGCACGGCACAAGGGCTAGCTGGCAGGCAGCCCTTGCACTGAAACACCCTCATGCCCCAGCCAACCCCATCAGCATCTACACATGCATTGCTGCACACTAAAGAACACCACTGCAGGATAGTACCTGTATTTACAAGTACTAACCCACAGCAGAGTTAATTAGTTAATTAGTCTAATACAAGTATTAGTATTACAAGTACTAACCTACAGCAGAGTTAATTAGCCTAATACGGCCGCACATACAGATGCTGAGACTTTACTGCAAAGCCAGTTAGGCAGCTCTGCAGTAAGCGTCTCATGGAAATGCACCCAAGAGGTCTCAATCCCATGTCCCTCTTGTGCTGTTGACTGTACAGTTGTCCATCTCTCTGTCATGCCCTGCTTCTTTCCAGTTTCTTCTCTGTTTGACCAAGCCCATCTTGTGCTGCTGCTTGGAGAAACCAAGAACCCTGAAAACTTTCTTTTTGCACCTCCCTCCACCATATTTTCTTCTGCCGCTTGACACAAACCCATTTGATCTGAAGATCAAATACATTCTGGCCACATCTACAGGAGATGCTGGCTGTGTAGTAGCCTGATACTACATCACAATAGCGTTGCATGGCAAAAACCATGACGCAACGCTACTGTGCAGTAGTATTAGGCTACCATGCAGTAGCATTACAAAAAAGGCATTCACTGGCACTACTGTGCAGTAACTCAAGTTACTGAATATTTACTTGTTTATACAAATAATAAATGTGCAGTAACCACTGTGCAGTAGTGTCTCGTGTAGACATGGCCTCTGAGTCCAAAAACTATTATTGCAGATGTGGAGTAAGCATGGGCAGTGTGTCAAGAGAGAGGACCCAAGAATAGTTCTTTACAGCCAGTCGGTTGTACCTTTTGTTTGATGTGGCAAGTGTAGTGACTTGGAGGGCTGTACAACAAGGGAGGGTACACAGAGTCCTAGGGGTGGAATGCATCTCAGGGCTCACCTCATTTAACCCCCTGTGCAGATACAGGATAGCTTGTTCCTAAGCCATTCCAGATGGATGCCGCTGCAGCTGCTCCTTAAATACTTCTAATGAAGGAGGTTCCACAACTTTCCTAGGTAGCTTGTTCCATTGTTCTACCATCCTTACAGTTGGGAAGTCTCTACTGAGAAAAATAGGGAATTTGCTACTCTGCAAAAGTGGCTGCTCAGAGCCAGCTGAGATGACAGAGGGTAGGTGAGAGAAACTCTTGGGAGTATGTGTTTTTCGCCAAAAGGGCGATGGCTGCGAACGTGGGCGAGTCGTTCGGCAGCAGGAGCGAAGTCCCTAGGCCGCACCGTGCCGAGTTTAGCTGCCGACAGCCCTGGGGCTTCGACACCCGGCGGGAACCGCGTGGAGGTACCCGGCACAAACCTGCTGCGACCGTGTAACCAGACCATTTCCCTCAAAGGAGGCGCCTCCTTAAGAGAGTCATAGTTACTCCCGCCGTTTACCCGCGCTTCATTGAATTTCTTCACTTTGACATTCAGAGCACTGGGCAGAAATCACATCGCGTCAACACCCACCGCGGGCCTTCGCGATGCTTTGTTTTAATTAAACAGTCGGATTCCCCTGGTCCGCGCCAGTTCTAAGTCAGCTGCTAGGCGCCGGCCGAGGCGGAACGCCGGCCCCCCCCGTCCCCGCGGAGGAGGAGGGGCGGGCGACGCCCGCCGCAGCCGGGGGGGTCCACAGGGAGGGC